CCCATCTCGAATATATGTATTGTACATAGTTGCTGAGGTTGGCATCCTTGGGCCGCCTTCATATCCGACGCTATAGGAACTTCGAAAATAGCAGGGGTAGAGGAACCGGAGGAAGCGCGAAAGTGGAAGACCAAAGAAATCGTCGTGTTCAAGCCTTTTGATTTCCCCGAACATATCGGCGCGGGGATGTGAAGAAGGCTCAAAGGCACGCCCCTCATTTGATGAGCCTCCTCCTTTACATATGGTGAGAAGACATACTTCTCTCGCAGCTGAAAAATACATTAGGAAAGCGCGTTGCGCTCGCGACGAGGCCACGTCTACGCCCACTGGCCAGACACTGCCCAACTATCGTTTTTAACTGCTGCCTGATGGTACAGCTGTTTCGCTACTAACTCTCACTTCGAATTTTGAAAGAAAGCAATAAGGAGAAAGAGCTGGTACCAACAAATGTGAAATCCTCCGATTTTTCTCCGCATTATGCACGTGCAATCGCGGGCCGGCGTGGAGCTCTATATAGGGCATTTTGGCCGGGTTTTTTTTTCTTTTTCTCTTCGCTTCTGGATCATTTACCATCTTGCAATTAATAACTAAACTGCAAAAATGACCATTTTTGAAGGCTGGGGTACATTTGAGGAATAACAGCAGTTGCGAATATTTCTTCTTTTTTTCATAAGAAAATGTATGGACTGCTGTCGGTTTGCTCATGTCATGCTTTTGATTTTTTCAAGGGCCAATCAAAATGCGCACGGCGCGGAGGAATCTAGTTTTCTGAAGTCATTTCCGTACAGGAATTCCACCTGAGGAGGAGATAAGGAAAAAAAACTTATATAGTATCGCGCCAAAAAACTGACTTCTTCTAACTCTTCTTCCTCGATTGGCACAGAATCTCCCAACAGTGTCAATCTTGCTCCACTAAGTTTTCCGTCAATCGTCGTCTTCACATTCTCCAAAGCCTCCACTAATTCGTGTCGCTTAGCCTAAAACTTCAAAACTGAACCCTAGCTGGAAACACAAGGTCAAGATCTTACATTCATGTTCTTATGTGCTTTCGACTCTATGTATATTGCATCCTTGTCGTAAACAATTCCTCCGAGGCCAGAGAAAGGTGCATATACTAGGCGCTCCTGGAACATTTATAGTTGGACTCCTTACAAAAGCATTCTATTTGTACCCCATTGTCGCACCTGCTGATTCAAAGCTCGTTGCTTTAGCTGCTCCGGAAGTGGACATGGATCAGGAATGCTGCTGACCTGAAAACCATTACTGGGTAACACTTCTAGTATAACAACAGTAATCAACAGAAAAAAAGGGATGCGCACGTCTTTGACGCGAAGATCGCCCACACCAGGGATATGAACCGCACTGTGGTTTTTTAGATGAGCACCATGAACCCAACCGTACAGGCAAATTGTTCTGTCGATTGTTGGATTTGTTCTCAATACCTACAAAAGGTTTAGATTGAAAAAAAAGATAGAGGAAGTATGCTTGGGAGTGCCCATACCCTACTGTACTCCAACAGCAAAACTCAAGCTGCGTTAACGCTTTGCGTCAATGATTCGGGCGCGGTAGCGGCTTGAGCCTTTGGTCGACTAGGAGCGTATATGTATCAATCCATCGTTCAGACGTACGCCAGCGTTTTCAGCAAATGCAAGCCAAAAGCTCAAAACTTTCGCGAAAACGCTCAAAATGTCGCGCCTGCTGAAAACACTTGATTGATAACTACACTTCCCTGGAAACGCTCACACGCTGACGCAAAGTATAAACTCAGCCTTATGAAAGCGGCCCTTCAACAGGACATTTAGAAGGGGATAGCTCTTGAACAACGCTATGCACACAACAACGAACCTCTGCGTCAGTAACATCCTCATAACGATCACACAACACATATGGGTGGGCATCACGCCAAATAAGTGGACGAAATTTGATGACCGATATGAATCGTACTAGATTATGCAGCTCATTCTTCTTGTATTCGTTATGATACATTCCGGTAAGATAAAACAACTTAGCGCCCTGAAAAGGCTCAATTATGCATAAAACTAGCATAACTATGGTCTCGTTCGCAGGTGTTGGAGGCGATGGCAGGCGGGATGGCTCTGACTGGCGCCGCAACCGTCCCGCCTGACAAAAATTGTTGATTACACCGGCCCGAAATTTACGAAACACAAAAAACTAGTTGAACATACCTGATAAATCTCAGTCCAGAATCGATGTTTCATCACTTTCTTCACTTTATTTACCTGCAAAACAAACACGTAAACAAAGGTCACCCCACCTACGGTGCGTGTTCATGCTATTCGATCCAAGCGAACGGGTCGCGAAGTACGAACACGCTCTAACCTCACCAACTTTTATACAAAGTACATTTAATTTCAGGCACATTGACATCCGAAGCTTTTGCTGGGCATCTTGCGATCAATCGGTTAGTCAGAGATTTAGGAGCAAACTTAAGAAACAGAACCAAGAGCGCGGGATACTGTAACGCTGATTCACGGCCTCCCAAATCTTTCTTGTTAATCGTTATAAATTTCTTAATTGGGCAATCGCATGCATTGGAACCAGGACAGAAGAAACACGTTCGGTGTGGGATGGCTTGCGTATGTTGATCATAAAAGAAAACGGTCTGCTTACTCGATCCAGAACAATAAGCAAAGGTGCATTGTAACGAATGCACAGGTGAAATGTGTGAAAACCGTTCATGGGTATAGGTGCAGGAGAGTTGAAAAAAAATGGTTACATTAATTTCATCTAAAATCTTCTTACCTTTCCTATCCCTTTCAGACAATCTAAATGGTTTAGAATTCCCAACACGCGGGGCATTCCATGAACTTGGCAGATATTAAGGAATTCGAATGTTTCCATTTCGAAGCCATACGATGCATCGACCATCAACAATACCTGAAAACTCCTCGATGCTTTCCACTACATCAGCTCAATACTGACCTGGTGTGTGACAAGACAATCGTAATATGCCGCGATGGTGGGCGCACCGAGCGACGCCGCGCTTTTTAGACGAGTTTTCCTACCTGACAGTTGAATAGATGAGAAAATTCTATATCGCCTATCATGAAATCTACTCTCCGTCTGTATACGAATGAGTTTCGCTGCTCCAATCGACAAGTTGACGCGTATCGAGGACTAGTAGCACACCGCTGCACGACACGCTGCGGCGACGCTGGAAATTACGATTGTCTTGTCCGCCTCGCATGTTGACCTACCAAATCAGCAATTTTCGCGATATCAATCATGTGATTGATATCGTTCTTAACTTCGATGAATTGAACTCGACGTTTCTTTCCTGTGACAATGGTCACTGGTCCTACAAAAACAACCGGCCATTAATAAAGTCGTAGCTACCGTAAAAAATGAAAACAAACCCTTTAACTCTTCAAAACCACTCTTCAAATAAGTATTTCACGAGGCCACGGAGGAGTGTGGTTTTTCCAACCTGCAGATTATTTTTCAGGAAAACCATCGACAATACTCTCACAATCAATTTTCAGAGCATCAATTTCTTACTTTGCTAGGACCAACGATTGCGACGATGATTGGAGGAGGGATGACAGGCTTCCTGTCCATAAACAATATATGTTTCTTCCTTTCGTTGATATCAGCAGCTCTGGAAACCAAAACGATACAACCAGTTCTTATGATTAGCTGGAAGAAGTTCTGTTTCAGAGTTCTTCGGATTTATCAAATTTTTACAGAGTATTTTCATTTCCTTGATGACTCAACTACCCGTCAAGACATTTCTCACCTCCGAATGATCTTTCCGAGTTATTTTCCAGGCTAATTCTGCTGAACCGCTCTTGTTTACGACAATGAGCGAGGAAAGGGTGATCATCATCATTGGTGGTGAAACACAATCTAGCTCCACAACAGTACGCTTCAGTAGAACTGGAATCCTTACTCATCACCCTGGCCAATTTACTCATCGACAGTCGTTTATAGGATTAACAATCGATGAACCGTAAAGGGTCTGTAACCAGGGCTCAGTGAGATCCCTCCTGAGCTATTTCCCGCCGCAACAATAGCACTTGTGGACTCGTGGGCTACTAAATCCCATCTCACCAGCATGCTCCCTACAGAACCACGTAACTGTGAGATGTGCTTTTATATCTGAGTAAGATATGCGCAGAAACCCTCAAGCTGAGAGGTTAAGAGACAGCCCTGCTGGCGCAACGGATAGCACACTCGCCGGAAGGCGTGAGGCGCAGGTTCAAGCTTCACCTGGGCTTACCTGAGCTTTTTTTGCCCATGACTCACTGCCAGCATGCTTGTGGTATCTTTGAGCAACGAACAGTGCATTGAATAGCAGTTATCATAATAAAACAATCTCTGACAATGATCTTAAGATGACATGACGTAGACCACGTCGGTAAGATCATTTTATATCCCACAGGTTGGAAGGGCGTGTCTAACCACTCTGGTATCAGCATGGCAGCAGCTGCATATCTGTGGTGGACAACTGATGGTTGGGCAGAGGGGGTAACAATTTCTAATGCCGTCTGCGCTTTCCTTGAGCATACCACTTATATACGCTATTGAAACGGCGGTTGTCTGGCAATGCGAAGAGCTTCATTTCCTGGACCCCCCCCCTCCCCTCCACTCCCTAGCCCTCAGATAAAGACTGCAGAAAAACATGACTATAAAAATGACTCTCTGAGAAAAAAAACATACAACAAACCTTCTGATTGCTTTACCCGCAGCAACTGCAGACTTGAAAGTGAAAGCCTTCGCATTGTTACCTTTGACTTTATTCTTTTCCTTTATCTTCGTAACCTTTCCTCCGACTTTGTGCACTGAAAATACGTGCGAATCCTTCAAATAAGCTTCACGAGGAATAATTTCGTTTCTAAGCCGGGGGGCTGGAATAATTCTAGGATTTTTTCTAGGATTTTTCGGTTTAAGCACTCCAACATAATTTTCTTTGGAGACCTCAACTTCTACGAACAACGATGGATACTAGCGCAGACAGTAACAACAACAGAATGTCCGAGGGTGTTTGGCAATCATGACCCCTCTACCATCACCCTTATGCTCCCTTCAAGAGCACAGAAACAAGAAATTACCGGTGCTAACGGACGTCACTAGAGCAATAATCCCCAATTCCATGCTCTCTTCACCTCACTGCGGTAGTGATCCTTCCTCCCCAGACTTAGACTTATGAGGACGCAGAAAACAAAAGTCGCCGCGGTTCAGGGTTTCTCTGCAACGTTGTCCTAAGATGGCTCCGAATTCTCAAAAATAGATGGGTTCTGTATGAGAGGTGACTTTTAAAGAGGAAGCTGTAGCGTGAAACCCCGAAGAAAAAACTGTGAAACCCCCGAGTGAGATGCAAATGAATCCTAGGAGCAATACCTAGAAGGTTGCCACTGAGTCGAGTATATGTGTCCTTTCCCCTTACAAGGGTGTAGGCTTATTGTTAGGACCAGGTTCGCCAGCAGAGAGTCTCACATAGGAAACGCATCGTGCAACATCGCGAATAATAAGGAGTTTTGGCAAGTGAAGCAGGAACAAACCTCGATGTTCTTTATTCTTCTGGCTCTCAAAAGCTCCAGTAGGAGCCATGACGCACGAGGTGCTGTAACAAGGAAATCAGTACATGCAGTAACGGTCAGCGTTGAGCAGTAATTTTGCGACCAGCCGAGAGAAGTTCATGGCACGAAATTAGTTGCTGTTGTATGCAGTCCACTCTTATGAAAAAGTTACAAGGGATATTTACAGGTCAATATTTGAGATTTTACAAAGTAACACTCCTGAAGAAGATTAAAAAACCATCAGTTCCAGTGAAAATGTGGGCGCAAATGTGAATTTAAGGCGTCGTTTAGGGCGTATATTCGGATTTGCGGTTTTTACACACTAAAGGACGTCAGATATATTTATACTTGGGATGGCATAGGTCATTGGTTTGTTCTAGCATGTTTTAACGTGTTCGTGTTGGTGGCTCGTTTGGGGAAGGATCCCAGAAACGTCACGAAGTTCAATTCGTTCAGAGGTCTCCCTCGCGAAGAGTGGGCCTCACTTTCTTGTTCCACGGGCAGTGGTGCTTCCGATGCCCCCCCCCTCTTCAAAAATTCTACTTTTATTTTTATTTTGCGGTGAGCTTTGCTGAAAAGCTTTCAGATGAGCTTGGGGCTATTGCCGTAATGCGGGGTTATTTTGGTGTAGAGCAGCCAAGACATTTGAAACTACGGCAGTTTTTTTTTCTTCCATTACAAACTTTTAGGGGAATGCTAAATATTTCAAAAAGCCATTTTCTCAACATAAGCTGCTACCAGGGGTTCGTTCACCATCTTGAACCTCCTTAAAATTCTTTGTGGTCCCTACAGATGAAAGTACTTTTGCTGATAGCCATTTCCTCGATTTCGCGTTTTTCATTTTCTTCGAAAGTCTGTTGGGCTTATGGCTGTGTTTTGGTAGTAAACTCAGAAAAGCGCGGCAGCGATAAGTTCTCCTGAAGTCTGTTCATTCAGATCTTACCACTTGAATCCTCAAACCCATCACCCATGATCTCTGCCTTCGTCTTCGATTGCTCATCTTGATCTTGATTAGTTCTTACGAAAGCTTATTTATGAGAATTTGTCGGATGTTTCCTTTTTTAAGGTATATTGTTAATGGATCTGGATGTAAATCTGGATTTAAATGCAAGTTTGACTGATATCGAGGTGAAAGCCGCCCCAAGGAGATTTCACACCAACAGGTTTGAAAAAAACATTTTAACGTTCCATCGTTTAACAATTCCTTTTTGTTTAGCTCTTCGTCTCATACCTCTAACACAGCAGTTGGATTCAGTCCTTCAAATTCATCGATGTCCAGCACAGGTACGTGTTACGTCATCTTTTGTGTTTGATACGATCGATATCTGTCAAAGTCGATATCGCCAAGCAGGCAGACGCGTTAGCTTGTTTCACTTTTGTATAACATCTGGTGGTACCTTGGGATCCCCAGCGAGAGGGGTCGCATTTGGTTGCTGGAGAGGGGGTGCCGTATTCACCTTTGACCTATCTCATTTTCCCACTCGCTCGCCAGCAGTTTTTTTCTCACTTTCCACCGCTCTGTCTCCTTGAAGCGGCTCTTTGAGGAAAAAAAGAAACCGGGAATTTCCTAAAAAAAGCTAACCTGGTCGCAATTTGGGAGCGTTCAAGAAAACGGTAAGTAAAGTGGTAGGTAAGTAGGATGGGAAAGGGGGGGGGTCGGGGTCATATTCTAGAAAATTCTTCCGCAGGGACAGGATGTGCTCTAATTATCAAGGGTACCCTCTACCTACCCTTCAATTAACACATCGATAACTGGTCATATGAAATTCATAGAAGTCAACGCAAAAGTGAAATGGTTGCCGAGTAGAAGTGAAAGGTAAGTCAAGAATTCTCAGAAAGGTGAGGTCTAGAGAGTCATCATTTAGCGCTATGTGGGTGGGTGACACAAGAACAACCTACTGCCTCACACTCTCTTTTGCGTCAGTGTAAGCCGCGGAAGTGGTTGGAATTTCAACAAATGCGCAGTTGGTGTCTGGTGTTTTCGGTAGACACTTTTAGAGGATTGACGAAAATTTTAATTTTCTTTCATTCATGATCTATGGCAATTTTTTTGTTCATGAATGACCTATACAGTAGCGTTTGGACCACCCCAATAAGATAAAATATAATGAAAATAGTAACCTTGAAAAGTTTTTGCATTTGTTCCAAAGAAAATTATTCCAGAGTCACTTTTAATGCCGAATAATTTCTTTATCATTTTTGCTAAATTTATTAGGTTGTCCGGAAAGTTCTGCAGGTTTTGAGTGTTTAACTTTAAACGATCATAACTTTCTTAACACTCATCGGATTTAATCCAAATAAGCACCATTCGAATCAGCACACTTTTGCCAATGTGACAGCAGTCGAGAAATCCCATCAAAGAAAAAACTGGGTGGTCGAGAATCCACGAAATCTAGGTCTTTTTTGCCTGGTCCTGATTGATGAAGTATTTTCCAGCAAGGAAGTTCTGAAAATGTTTGAAAAGGTGATAGTCGGTTGGTGAAAGGTCTGGAGAATATGGCGGGTGAGGTAGAACTTCAACCCCCAATTCGTTCAATTTATGGATAGTGATTTGTGAAACGTGTGGGCGGGCGTTGTCATGCAAAAGAATCGGACCCTTTCTTTTGATAAGTGTTGGCTGCAGCTGACAAAATTTTCGGTACATTTCGTCGATTCCTTCACAGTAGGGTTCTGCTGTGATGGTTTGGCCTGGTGATAAAAAGTTATAGTGGATCACACCAGCCGATGACCACCAAGCCGTGACCAGAATCTTTTTTCGTGAGGCTTTGAAAATTACCTCGGTGGTTCGTCGAAATCCAATCCGGAACGTCTCCTGTTATCATACATGACCCATTTTTCATCACAGGTGACAATTCGGTCCAAAAACAGGTCGTTTCTGCTGCGCAAAAGCAATGCAGAAGGAACCTCGAGACGTGCCGATTCCTGCCGGTCACTCCGATTGTGGGGCACCCAATTGTCGAGTTTTTTCACCTTCCCAATGCGTTCCAGACCATCTGCAACAGTGGATTTGCCAACGCCTAGCTTTTCTGCAATCTCTCGAACTGTTTGGGATGGGTCAGCCTCCAAAATCCCCTTCAAGGCTGAAATCTCCAGAACGAAATTTGTTGAGCCATTGCCGCACAGTGCTTTCTCTAGCACTATTGGGCCCCCACACCTGGTTAATTTGTTGAGCTGTTTCGATTGCGGATTGCCCCAATTTATAGTCGAAGAAAAAAATCGTCCGAAGTGCTCTTTTCACATGCTTGAAAAAATCTTAAAAAAGGGGGTTCATCAAGCAATGGTGAAACGGCAGTTATACCATCAGATAGCGCAAAGAATTCTCTTCAGGATGTACTACTGAGACGCAAGGGAGAATGAGTTTTTAATCAGCAATGAATGTGCAAAAAATAGTAACACAAAACATGCAGAACTTTCCGGACAACCTAATATTAAGGGGGTCAAACCAAAGAAGTAGTTCAGTTTCCGTTTCGCACGTGCTCTTAGACGGAAACTGAACGAGGTAATTCTCCTTCCTCGGTGCTCTTCAGTAAGCCTAAACAGATGTTTTGAAGGCACGCTCCGTGTACATTCAATGGCCAGACGCGGCTTAAGCTTGATTAAAGTGCGACCATTGCGACTCCCTCTCCTCCACCCCCCTTGCCCAAAGATGCAACCAGCTTTTTTGAACTCTCTGTGGTGCGACTGCTCTACTGAAGCGGGGTTCTATGAAGGGCATTTCTACCAATTTTTCTTGTTTTTTTACTACTTAATCACTTACCATTTTGTCATTGGTATTTGACCTGCATGACTTATCATTTTTGAAGTGTAGCGTGCCTTTGTGCCCCATTGCCGCAACGCTTTCTTGTTTTTGTGGAGCGTGCACCCTAGTTCGCTTCGGAATAAGGGGCGTCTCTGGTAGTATGTCAACAACTGATGGAGAACGGGTTTGGCATCGCGCCAAACTCATCCCACCTGACGCCTCTTAGTCCGCAGCGACAATAATCCGTATATGATGCACATCTCAATCTGCGGCGGCTTGATTCCTATGCAGCTGTTGTGCGCCGCCAGAAGATTTATATTCTTCCGTTTCATAGATGATGTTTCAGAGACGAAACGGCTGGGAAGACGGTTATCAACAGCGTCGAGCTCATGTAAGCAGAACGAAACAATCGGCATGCCGATAACAACGGAAGAGTCCGAAATGTATGTCTGGCATTTCACGCTGGTTTAACTTCTTCATCTTGAAGATAGCTCAGCTTTCATTCCAGAAAGATATCATCACAAGCGCCTACTCGAAGACGCAGATCACGCGTTCAGCTGCATGAGACTCCGGAATCTGAGGGGTCTGCATTGTTCTCAAAACCAAGCTCATCGACTCGTCCTCGTCATTCCACGGCTCGCCGGTACGTACAGTCATGATGCCTGCAAACCGTAAGGGTTTTCCCCACCAGTGATGCCATCCTGAGTCCATAACGATTGGCTGTAAGGGGTGCTCTGACTGCGCTTCAACTCACGCCCTTCAATACACCCTATCGTTTGCAGGAATCACGACTATATTTTGCTCATCATAAAGTTTTTCATCCATTTCGTCATATTTTTTAGATATTCTCCGTCGCCTGAAAACCGGACTAAGCTGAAGAGCATTGCTGCTCTGTTACAAAACAAACAAAGCAGGAGAGTAACAAAATGGTACGCTGTCTTTTATCCGGTACCCGCCGATTACGGGGTAGGGCTTTTTTGTAAAGTTTTGTGAGGTCTCGCTCATACACAGAGAATTGGAAGGTGCGGCGTCGATTTCGAACATATTTGAGGTAGAGTGGTGGCATGTGGCACTTACTACGCTCACTGTCCGTGGTTGAATCTTGGACCTGCTCCACCCGGCCACCCAAGCATTTTGTCTTGCAGAGACAGTAATATGTTACCAAATTCGTTTAAGTGGATAAAAACATTGACTTGTATATAGAATGCCCCCCCCCCCACGTCCTCCCTCCCCTCCCTTTCCCTGTCAAGTCATTGAGTGGGCTGTATCGTATTCAGTAAGTGACACTTAAAATAGCTGGATATAAATAGTAATAGTAATACTAACATTGTTTGAACAAGATCACGTATTTTTGTTTGGAATAGCTGGATTAGCTATGCTTGCATGCCCTTCTAATAGTCTAAACGAGAACTCTGCAACTATCTAGTTTTTTTCTTCTTAGCAATGAAAGCCCAGCTTCCTATGAAGCCCCACTTGCATCATATTGGCTTTCATTGATGAACGAGTATTCTGCTAGGTTTTGCTTTACTAAGCACACTAGTACAGTGTAAGATAAGTAAATAAAAAAAATAAGAGTTCAGACATAGGAATAAGTTCACTCACTCCAGCACTCCTTTTCTCGATTCCCAAGCAGAATCCTAGTCTTCCTGGGGTCATTTGTCTCGTCGCACCTTCCAACATTAAATGCCGTCCAACTAAAAACTCGAAGGACTTGAAAAACTGAACTTAAACTGACTAACCACTATACCTAAAAAATACCCACTTTTTAGACATAATGCACCGAGTGCAGAGAGAGATAGTGAGTGATATGTAGCTATCTTTTCATGAACTACGATGCAGTTCTCCTGAACTACTATGCAGTTCTCCTTTGGGGGAGAGGAGAGGGGTATTTGAAGGGTTCCTTTGGCGTCTCCTTCCCCTTTTAGACTTATTTAGACATTCTCGGGCTTATTCAAATTCCTCACCTCTTTCACCTAGGCCCAGGTTTGCACAAGTCCCCTCCGAAAGCTAACAACTCCTAAGCTACAATGTCTAATTCAGGTATTTTACTTATCCCGGCTTCCAACATGCTGTGATGTACCGTCGAGTGTACTCCTTGAATGTCTGGTAAATCGTGATCCTCTGGATTTTGTGCTACACAAGGGAACTGACGTAGAAATCGCGGAACCTGCGGATCTTGACAAAGACGTGACCATCATCCCAGCACCAGAGGTATTTGTCTACTACTTCTTGAAGCTATATAGTATTAATCGGTCATAGCATAGTGGTCATGCAGCGTTCAGTATATATTTTTTCTTCAGAGTGCAAGCACATCGACCGTTCCTGATATTCCCGTAAAACAAGAAGTTAGGGGCGCAGAGTCATCAGATGGTATTTCCCCCTTTATTTTCATGATTAGCCGATTTTGATAAGATTACTTATAGACGACGAAGAGGAGGATGAATACGATAAAGTACCGTTTGTCCGCATGGCAGACATAGGAGCGGCGCCTTTCACCGCAGCGCCGCTCCCTCCACTTCCTATCACGATGGCTGTAAAATCTAGAAAAAGGCCTAGATCATCATTACCAGTTATTAAGGTATGTTGTAACGAAAACTTTTTCCTCTAGCAAATTCGACATCCGAGAGTTGGTTTTTGAAGCTCCCACGACGAAAAGCGCTTGGCGGTCTGTGCAAAGTAGAAAGCGATGATACCGCTACACAACTGCTATTTTCAGAACAAAAGCCAAAAGTTGCAGAGGTAACTGGTGTCTTTTATAGCTTAGTCAATCAGGCGAAAGCCCGCTAGGGGTAGTTGAAGTACTCCTCAGGCTGAATGAGGGTTTGTAAGGCTGCGTTCACACTTTGCGTTTGCGTTTCGAGCGACTGCTCGCGAAAAGTTCAAAACTGCCCGTGAAACGCGCGGAACTCCAACGCAAAGTTTAACCGTAGCCTAATGGGGAGAGTAATACCCTAAAGACCCGCCTAAGTCTAGGAAAAATCTTTGAAAGGGTCAGCGAAGTTCCTTGTGCAAGGAGAGTCCATCACTGAAGTAACGCCGGCTTTGCTCAAGGAGTACTTCAAATGTACCCCCCCCCCCCTCGTTCCTGGTTTTGTATATCAAGAAGATGGAATGAGGGTCTTAGCCTTGCCGTGCTGCCAAATTCATCATGTGCTCTTCAAGCTCAATTTTTGTCGAGAGTCATTTTCATCTTGTATACGTTTACTGGAAAATTTCTATTGTGTGCCAAGAGGAATTATGTTTCAGGATGCTCCCGTTAAAAAGATTGAACTAGGGATACCAGACGTTAGGCCTACCTCCCATCCTAAAAAGGACGTCACTTCAGTGCCAGACGTCAAGCATACTTCTTATCCTAAAAAAGACGTCACTTCAGAGGTATGAATTTTAAGTTTTTCCCTTCAGATACCCTCCATTACCCGTAGATGGAGGGGCGTGGCTTCATTTTCTCGATTGGGCGCTACAGCAGCTGTGCTTTCGGAGGATTTAGGTGAAACACAGCAGCCAACCCCCACAATCTCAAAAATATGCATTGGGTGTAGGGCGCAGATGTAGCACAGGTCCATTTTCTGTTAGGCAGTATTCATATTTCGGGATGACGCGCCACCATTACCACAGCGCTCCAGTGTTTCAAACGGGAACGCAGCCTGAGACAGGCACCGATCAGCGGCGGCCGCTAGTGCAGAGCGTCGGGAGAAGAAGAGGTTCGCGTTGTCTCATCACAAATTCTGATGCCCTCCCGTTCTCCTATACCTGCCAAGTTCTGGCGATCTTCGCCGATCGATACCAGACTGCGCGATCGGGGAGTGTGTACCTTCATCTTCTCCCATTCTCTCTCAATACACAAGCGGTCGGCGCCGATCGACGGGCTATGTTGGCATCAATGGGCTTGTAGCGCGTCGACGCGTATCATCGATAAGTCTGAACTCTGCCCTAGTGCGCAGGTGTGAGATAGCGCTGTTGTCTCTGAAGAGTTGGAGATGACGTGTCACAGCACACGTAATGACGAGGCAACCTGCATTTTATCATTGTCGCTGGCATCTCAAAACGCGTCATTAGCATGTTACGTGACGTCACTCACACGTCATTTATCTCGTTCGAAGTAATATATTGGGCCGAGAACCTGTGCTGCATCAGTGCCGTTTGATGTTCCATGATGCAGTTGTTATCTATGAATTTAGGTTTCTGTGAAGAAGAAGCCAGAACGATCTGTCTCAGAAGCCAAATCTGCTCCTTATGCGGAAGAAGACTTACTTTTAGAAGTTCGATATTCAATTAGTACGCATATACTTGATTTTGACCGTATTTTATATTGTCCCAAATGTATTCAGGCTCCTCCAAAGAGAAAATCTAGGCGACTAACTTCTGAGGATGCATCAACTTCTAACGCGGAGAAAAAGCCTCCCTTGGTAGAGAGCGACCAAACCTCAGAAATCTTTGAGCAGGACAAAAGTATGAATGAACGATTGTAGTCTTGAAATGTTCCTAAAGTATTCTGTTCAGGTCCTCCAGTGAAAAGAATGAGAAGGACAGTATCTCCGTCCATTCAAGAACGACCAAAACGTGCCTCTGCCGGGAAAACTCTCAGTTTTCTTGCAGAGGTTAGTGAATCAGTAACTTAGTGAATCTATGTGAACACTCTATTTTTCTTAGGTTACTAAAAGGAAGCGATCGATCACGAAGGATGCTCCTTCCACCAAAAATACCAAGGACGCGGTGATTACGAAGGATACCCCTTCCAGTGAAACTACCAAAGATGTGGTGAGACGTTTTTTTAGTTCACTAACTGAAAAAAAGCAGATCTCGACCGATCTTTTCTGCCTAGCACCGTTTCCTACCTTGCTACGTGAGCTGAAGTGGGAACTCGAACGCATAAGGGACAACTTTTCAATCTGCTTATCCACTCGGACCTAGCAGAAAGAAAGGCTAGGTCCTGAGGTGCGTTGAGTCGTTCACCACGGAGGGCTTTATGCCTTGGACTCTATAATACCCTAAAAGTCGAATGTGCCGCCTTCTGTCTGTAACACGGCGGCAAGTATGTATACCGCATTGTTCGCTGCGGATGCTAGGGCGTGTCATCGGGCTGGCTTTGGCTCGAAGCCAACCTGTTCTCCACCGATTGTTGAAGCAACAGAGTGACAACAATTGGTGGGAAAGCGGCTGGCACCGCGCCAAACCAACCCCCTTGACACGCCGCAGCATCGGCAGCGAATAAGACTGTATGTGCATGCAGCCGAATCTGCGAATTGTTGGCATGTCAGTGGCAAACTCATTGAGAGCTGCCATTGGCCGCATACTCGTCTACCGAAGTGACGACCAACTTCCTCATAATAGGTTCCTGACCGCTTCAGTTTGTTTTTTGCAATTCTCCCAATATTTTCCTGCTACTATTTTAGCATGGTAGTGCTTGAAAATAGTCGTGACTTCAACTCTTGCAACATGGCAGATTCTGAGGATCTAAGTAGGATCTAGGCCGGAAATCTGCTTGTATTTTTTATAGGCCCTTATGTCTGGCATATAAATCACTTCTAAGCCCTGTGTATTACTTTTACCTTGAGTTTTCTTCGAAAATGCAGCTGGCAACGTTCCAGGATCCGCAGCCTAGCTCATCACCAGCTATTACCGCAGACAAGAGCAATAAAAAGAGTGAAGACGCTGGCAACAGATCCTGCACCGATCAGCCAATCGCTCTCTCTCGTGCCAGAAGGAAAAGTGCTCCGATTTTCCAGGAAGGATTTGCAAAAACGAGAATACAACTTCTGGAGTCTTCTGAAGCATCTTCACCAAGGTTTGTGTTATCTTTCGGTTGTGACAGAACCTAACGAAGACTTCAACCCCTTGTGTACAATTTTTAGCACTCGTTCTGCTTCGGTAGCATCCAGTGATCAATCTTTCGTGATGGAAGAAGAACAGTTATCTGCTAAATTGGGACGTTCTCTTACTAGTGGCAGGTATGGATCGTTTCGCAGTTTTCAGGCGCAGAACCACTTATAGCA